CCTGCCATGAGCCCCATTTGGGGATCTGTTAAAATTAAACTCTTCACATGTTATTCCTTGTATTAACATTGAATTGTTTACATACATTGCATTTGAAGAGGTATATTTTACAACACTTAGCCTTTAAAGTTTTTTATTTTATTTTTATTAGCCGTAAGAAGACACTTTCTGTCATAATTTTACATTGCACGAGTAGAAAAAAAAATGATTATATTGAAAAGTATTTTTGTATTATTTCTAATCAATATTATTTTTTGATGTTTTATATATATATATATATTTGATGTTCTACTTTCTATAAAAACGACAATGGTAACTACTGAAATTGAACATAAGAAATAAATAAACTCTTAAGATTAAAAAAATTTGGCAGTTGATGGGGTAATAAGAAATGGTTCCGATTTTTATTTGATGAATTCTTTAAGCAGTTTCCCGATCTCTCTTAATCCTGGTTATGACGATATACTCCATCCAGCAGTAGAGCACCTCGGCGTGGTGTAATGGTTAGCAAGCTTGTAATGCTAGATCAGTTACTACTGAAAAGTGAGTTCGATCCTCACTAGATGCCACATGCTTTCGGCCTTGTGTCACATCTAAGCTACGCTTAGAAAATCTCTACTACATCCAGCAGTAAGACCTGTAATCTTGAGATTGGAATTTTCGCGCAGAGAGGGGACCTCCTCTTACCTATTGTTGTTTCAAGGTCCATCCTGACTCGGGTGGAAGTTGCTGTTTGGGTCCCAGCTATGGGTAAATAGTGAACACTACAAACAAAATACTATGAAAGTATAAAAATAGTAAAAATGCCAGCAATACAATTTTATATATAAAATAAAAATTACACAAAATACGTTTATATTAAAATTACCGTATTTTTCGGCTTACAAGACGATGCAGCTTGGAAGACGCACCCTAATATTGGAAATAAATTTTAAAGAAAAACAAGTCATTCTCATACAACAACACATTCACCATACGTCCTTCACATATTATAGCCACGTATTGTTTACATTAATCACTCGTCCGATTTTGTTTGTATGGCAATGACATACTAGTCAACAGCAGTAAACAGAGCATGTTGAAGTTTGTGACTCGGCTCCAGGAAGGTTTATAGTCTTGAAAATGCTTGTAGCAGCTAGGTATTGAGATTACATCATATGATGTAATGACCCAACATATAAATCCACGTCCCTATAAGTCAAGCCAGTTAGGTGAACGTCCAAGCTTATTTAAGCCTGAACATTGCTTTACATTCGTCTTAGATGACGCATACAGGGTATTTTTTTAGAAACAAGTACGTTTTGTAAGCCGGAAAATACGGTACCAACAATATGCACATACTAACAAACTGTAGAGACTTCACCCAAATCCGTTTAAAATATTACCAAACAACCAACATGAAGGAACACTTTCATTACATTAAACCATACAATATCCGACAATTTCTTAAATCAAACTGTATTCCAAAGTATGACTTCAGCAAAACTACAATGCACACACCACTGCCTCTGGTAATCATGTCCACAAAGACATGCATATACACAAAAGCAGAGCATCATCTACCGTGTATTCAATTGTGAAAGGAGAATGGCATATTTTTATTACTTCGAAGCTCCCAAGAAAATTAAATCTCGGTATTAAATGACCCATGAAGGTGTTGATATGCTGTTGAACAGGCAAATCAATCAATCAATAAACCGATCTTTCTAACTTGCAGCGACTAATATTTCATGAAGTAACATGAATTATATTCTGAATGTAAAACATGCTAGAAAACAGGCGTGCTTATAATTGGTACGATTGTGGTCACGTGATAGAACTTTGAGTTTGATCGGTCCAGATTTGTTGCTGCTGTTACAGTTTAAGCATGACCGCTTCACTAGCAGTGTGCACAAGAGCAGTGATCTGATTTATCTGGTCGGAAGTTGTGTCAGGGGCTGAAATTTATCGAAGGCTTTTAACACAATACGATGAGAGCCTTGGAGAAAGCCTGTATTGATCTCATGGAATTCATAAACCTAGCCATTAACATCGACATTCCTGTTGGGAGAGACATGTTAATGTAGAAAACATTTCCAGAGATTCCATAGCTGTAGAGTTTGTGTAGCAGCCCCCGCCCTATGCCACACCTCCTCAACGGTCTTTGATCTTTGATATATGTAAGTATAAAATAAATCTTTATATGCTACACACACACACACATACATATATATATATATATATATATATATATATATATATATATATATATATATATATATATATATATATGGTACCACAGAACTTGTAAATAGATTTAAACAGACAAAACCGCATATTTTTTCCCCTAAAAGGTAACAAGAATCGTTAGCGACTAGTAAAATTTTAACGAGAATCGCGGAGTAATACACAAACTGGGAGGAAACGAAGAACTACGATTAAAATACAATTTAATATTAAAAAGGGGGAAAATATAAAACAGGGGAGAAATGGCAAAAAATACAATAAATAGTTCCAGTAAGTGTAAAAAAATGAAAAGAAAATATAGACTCACAGATCTTCCAGTAAAGGAAAATATATTTTGTTTTTGATTATTTGTTCCGCCTTTTGTCGAACTGGAACTTTTTAAATCATATCCTTTTCTCTTCTTTCTCATTGCGTTTCATTGCTTTTTCTACTCATCACATTTTATCTTTCAATCATTCTTTCTTCCGAAGCACTTAACACTCCAATCGATTTAGCGGATCGATTTCTTAAATGTAAACGCATTCAATCCTGTATTCTTTTCTTTTGTTTTGTCTGTTTTCTGTCAAAGCTGAATTTCTCAATATAATTTATCTTTTTCTCCTCTTCTTTCTTTCTTTCTTTCTTTCTTTCTTTCTTTCTCTTTGTTTTTTTCATTTGCTTTTGCTCTCCTTTTATGTCTTGAATTTTCTCTCTGTTCACATTTTACTTAATTCTTCCTGGCTTCTCTTTCTTTTGCTCGCCTCTTTTCTCGTCGTTATATTCTCGTTCTTACTTTCCTTCCTCTTTTTTATTCCTTTCTTTTCTTTCTCTTTCTTTATTATAATTTTTTTTTAACCTTTCTCTCGCACCACCTCTTACTTATTTGCTATCTCCTTTTCCCTCTCTGTATACCTCTCTTTCTCTACCTGTCTTTGTTTCTTATGTCTGCTCTTCTTTTCTTTATTTTTTTCCTCTTTATTTTATTCTTTCTTTTCCAAAGACTTCAATCTTCACTACTGGATTATATATATATATATATATATATATATATATATATATATATATATATATATATCTTCATTTTAATTCCATACACTTTTTTTCTCTTATTCACACTTTTATTGTCTTTTCTTTCCTTTGTTTCTCTTACTCTATCCATCTCTAGCTATTTTATTACATTCCTTATGTAGTTGATTTTATGTATGTAGAATGGTAAACTGAACTCTTGCAATAGAACGAGGACAACGTCGAATTCAAGGCCTTGGTGATGGCAACAGAAACCCACTACACTATCTTTTCTAAGAATACACGGTAATTCACGGGTAATCAAAAAAAAAGGAAACTGTGAAGGACTATAATCACGTACGCTCTAAAGAGAAACAACGATCATAAATTTCATGTGTGTGTGTGTGAAAACAAAGCTGTGTTTACCTTGCCGAGCTGCAGAAACAACTCCTGCGATAATAGTGTATGTGGAACTGGCGTCGGTGTTTGGCGTTTAGACCAGAGTCAAGAGCAGGATATTGAGTGCTAGTGTTCAAGGAAAAATGGCAACTTCTTCCGGGAGGTGTGTACATGTAAACACATTTGAAGAGTTTGGTATTTTAAAAAACCTTTTTAAAACAAAAAGAGGATACAGAGAGAAATGAGCAAATAAGGAATAGAGTTTTAACGCTTGTTATTTTTTAGGATTGTGTTTCCTTTTCTTTCTAAAGTCTCCTAAATTTTCTTTCACTATTTCAACCCCTTGTGGCTTAGTGGCATTATCGCCTTATTTGAGGTGAATTGATTAAAAAAGAACATCACTCTTATGATGCACACTAATGGGATATATTCCAACTTTTTCTCGGCGAAAGTAGTCAGAGAATCTGTCTGAATTTCTGGAATCAGGAGTTATCATTCTTTACATGCGCTCTGTCGTCCACCATTTCGTTGTTATCATCTATCTATCTATATATCTATACCCCCTCTCTCTCTCTCTCTCTCTCTCTCTCTCTCTCTCTCTCTCTCTCTCTCTCTCCATATATATATATATATTAAATTTTAATTTTTTTCTCATCCATTTCAGGTAAGAGGTACAGAGGGAAACTGAGTAACCTATCCAAAGGGCTTTTGCCTTATAGGGAAAACCCGCTTAAACAGCGAAATATGGCGATTTCGTTGTTATTATTATCTATCATCTATCCTCCATATATATATATATATATATATATATATATATATATATATATATATATATAATTTTAATTTTTTTCTCATCCATTACGGTCATCCATTTCAGGTAAGAGGTACAGAGGGAAACAGTGAGTAACCTATGCAAAGGGCTTTTACGAATGGTTGGCATAGTGGTAAAGAGTAAAAAAGTTGTTTAGAAATTACAACGGATCGTGAAAGGTGCCCTCCAAATGATAAGTTGCCGAGAGAAATAACCGTCCTTGCTGCAAAATGACAGGGGACATAAAAATATCAAGGTATTCTACGCATTGAAATGACAGTTGGTTAAGGAAGAAAAGAAATACAAGTTTCCCCGGTTATCCGAAACTTGTGTTCAGATGAAATCTTTCGTGTACGAAAATGGCTTAAAGCGAAAAAACAATTAGCATTAATTTATATGGAATTTTTTTTTTTTTTTTTTTTTTTTAAGTGTACCCGGATATAATGAAGGGTGCAGTAGAAATATATCCCACTTTTGAAACATATCACTTGTGTGGTGATAGTGAACTTAGGCATATTGCAATGGTCGCTTCATCTACCTAATTTCTTACTAGTTTTACAGATATCATCAGTTAAACATCATGGCTTGGACCGATGCACACTTTAACTTATTTTTCGTTCTTTCTTTCTTTCTTTATTTTCTTTCTTTCTTTATTTTCTTTCTTTCTTTCTTTCTACTGTTAAATTTCTCCTTTACTTATTTTTCCCCATATTTTCCAACAGAATTCATTTTCTTTCTTTCTTTCTTTCTTTCTTTCTTTCTTTCTTTCTTTCTTTCTTTCTACTGTTAAATTTCTCTTTCACATCTCTGGTAGCACACTGAAAAAAGTGAATTTCAAAAACTCCAAAAATAATTGTGGTCTCAAGACGGTCTTTTTGTTGCCTGTTTTATCCCTTCACGTCCTCGGCTAACTTCGATTGAATAAATACAGACTACTTCTGTTATATAAGTAACTCTATTAATTCAAAACTTTTAATGAAAGTACTTTAAAGTTACATCTAAACATGATGCTGTTTTTGCTCCATTCTAATTGAACGCTTTTTCTGATCGACTGGTTGGGTAGGGCTGCTAGTTATCATTATTATTGTTGTTGTTATTGTCGTTGTTGTAATAAATATTTTCGCTACGTCAATAATTTTATTTAAAGCCATTAATACCTTCCCTATCTCACCGTAAAAACAGGCTTTGTGATCATGGCAATAACATTTATAATGTCAAGCATCGTTTATTGTCCGAAACCATCGATCCGAGAAACGTTAAAATAATATATTGTCAGACCATGTCAGTAGATAAAAAACAATAAAGTTAATCTCATGAAGACGTCCAGTCGTCCTCACCTAGAGAAAGATTTTATCCATCGCAATATTAGGCCAAGATGTCGGAAAGGCGGCAACACATCGGATGAGGCATTTTAAAACAACAACAGCAATAATAATAAATGTTGGGACAGAGATGGAGCGGTAAACTATACAATATACGAACACAGCAAATTATTTCAGAAAGAGTATGAAAATAGACACGACTGTTTAGGAACAGCGTTTCACCGGGAACTGTGCAAACGTCTTGCAATGAAGACGTCAACACAAACTTGAATATTAATGCAAAGATTTATGAATGAATTTGGATTTATTTTACACAAGTACATCCAATACAAAGCTCCACTCAAGACAACGGGTTACTTGATTTACTCGATGATAGTGTGGTATGAGTGAAGGAGGAGGTGATAGGAAGTGAAAAGGATAAATAATGATTTACAGTTAACTTGAAGCTTCAAGATTGAACGTTCAAGGAAGCATCCACGCAGGAGACTGCGTCATGGGAAAAAAAACAATTCTCTTTACATTTGGATTACAGATGAAATAAAGCGTGATTCATCTCCGTGGAAATGACATGGCGTGTCCTACGTAAACAACGATGGGGTAGCGTCTGTGGGAAAGAGGCTGTAGAGCGCATAATACGTCACCCACAGAAAAAAAAAAATACAGTCTAAACGATTTCGGTTTGGATATTTACAAAATTATAGTTTAAATGATTTCCAAGACTTGGATTTGGATATTTAGAGAATAATGTGGAAGTCACTTGTCTAAGTGTTGTAGTATAGCAATGGACGATAATGGGTATGCCTCCATTGACATAAATACGGTAGTAAATACTGTATGTTGGTCTCCAGTTGTGCTGGTCATACTCACTGCCTCCGGGTAGAGAGGTTCCCCAGATGAGGCTCTGTCGAAGGGCAAACAGCTACCCGATCCCGTTTTATACGGGGTCTACGGGGAATTTTTTGACCAGCCTACGGACTCGGATATCCCACATTAACTTCGGCCTTGTGGCACATCTGACCGTGTGGGGCGGTTGGTAGATATCTTGCAGTTGGAGATTCATTGTGGAAATCATTTGACTCACTTTTAGCAGTTGACTACTTCTATCCTATATGTGTTGTTCTTGTCCTAAGTATTATTGTTCGTTACCAAACTTCATGTGATTATTCTATTCAGTGAAATTCGTGTTGTAACCAAGAGAATGTCACTGAACAGAATAATCACATGAAGATTGGTAATGAACGATAATGCTTAGGATACGAACAACACATAATATTCGCCAGCGGCGCGTACAAGATGTAGTCAACTGGTAGAAGTGAGTCAAGTGAATTCCACAATGAATCTCCAACTGCAGGATATCTACCAACCACCCCACGCGGTCAGATGTGGCACAAGGCCGAATTTAATATGGTGTATCCAAGCCTGTAGTCTGGGCCAAAATTTCCGCTTAGACCCCGTATAAAACAGGACGAGATACTGCCCTCCGACATAGCCTCATCTGGGGAACCTCTCTACCCGGAGGCAAAGAGTTTGACCAAGCACAGCTGGAGACGAATCCACTTGTCAAAGTGACTAACATAACCAAACTAGTTTTAATTACTTTCCATAACAGAGGTGGATATTTTGAGAATTATGTGGAAGCCACTCATCAAAGCGGCTATGAGCGTATTATTAACACTTGATTTGGATATAGTGAGTATATTGGCGATCTCCTGCGTCGTATAATATTTATTCTCGATCAAATTGCTGATACGTTTCTTATGAATCTGAACTTGTGTGCTCGACCTTGGAACATCGTTCAGCGATAAATATCCCGCATTTCTTTTACGCATTCTATCATCTAGAGTAGCTACGTAACCATCTGCAAATACTATTGTATTTGGCTTAATTTTACTACATGCGAAAATAAAAAAGTGCATATGTCGAAAGTGTTTCTTGTTTCCATCCCCATTTGGTTGGTAAAATCAACGAGCAATTGATCTCTATAGAGATTTTCATCGTTAAGAAAATACGCATATCCTAATAAAACAGCTGTAGAAATAAAAGTGATCTATTAGAATTCATTCAGAATGTCTACGAAAATATTTATCTGTGCACCAGCTGGGCGGCTGCGAGTATTACTTCTTTACATTCTGTTATTTTCAAGATTTTTCACATAAAGCTGAAAATTCTTTCTATATACTGGTACTGTAGATGACTAGGAAAACAGTCAATTAACGCCTTTCTGCTTATATATCAACTAAGGTTTGGACCTTTCTGCTTATATATCTACTAATGTTTGGTCCTTTCTGCTTATATATCTACCAAGGTTTGGACCTTTCTGCTTATATATCTACCAAGGTTAGGACCTTTCTGCTTATATATCTACTAGGGTTTGGAACTTTCTGTTTCCATATCTACTAAGGTTTTAGATTTTTCTGCTTATATATCTACTAAGGTTTGGACCTTTCTGCTTATATATCAACTAAGGTTTTGGACCTTTCTGCTTATATATCAACTAAGGTTTGGACCTTTCTGCTTATATATCTACTAAGGTTTGGACCTTTCTGCTTATATATCTACCAAGGTTTGGACCTTTCTGCTTATATATCTACTAAGGTTTGGAACTTTCTGTTTATATATCAACTAAGGTTTGGACCTTTCTGCTTATATATCTACTAAGGTTTGGACATTTCTGCTTATATATCTACCAAGGTTTGGACCTTTCTGCTTATATATCAACTAAGGTTGGGACCTTTCTGCTTATATATCTACTAATGTTTGGTCCTTTCTGCTTATATATCTACCAAGGTTTGGACCTTTCTGCTTATATATCTACTAAGGTTTGGAACTTTCTGTTTCCATATCTACTAAGGTTTTAGATTTTTCTGCTTATATATCTACTAAGGTTTGGACCTTTCTGCTTATATATCAACCAAGGTTTGGACCTTTCTGCTTATATATCAACTAAGGTTTGGACCTTTCTGCTTATATATCTACTAATGTTTGGGCCTTTCTGCTTATATATCTACCAAGGTTTGGACCTTTCTGCTTATATATCTACCAAGGTTTGGACCTTTCTGCTTATATATCTACCAAGGTTTGGAGCTTTCTGCTTATATATCAACTAAGGTTTGGACCTTTCTGCTTATATATCTACTAATGTTTGGGCCTTTCTGCTTATATATCTACTAAGGTTTGGACCTTTCTGCTTATATATCTACTAAGGTTTGGATTTTTCTGCTTATATATCTACCAACTTTTGGACCTCTTTGCTTATATATCTACTAAGGTTTGGACCTTTCTGCTTATATATCTACTAATGTTTGGATTTTTCTGCTTATATATCTACCAAGGTTTGGACCTTTCTGCTTATATATCTACTAAGGTTTGGATCTTTCTGCTTATATATCTACTAATGTTTGGGCCTTTCTGCTTATATATCTACTAAGGTTTGGACCTTTCTGCTTATATATCTACTAAGGTTTGGACCTTTCTGCTTATATATCTACTAAGGTTTGGATTTTTCTGCTTATATATCTACCAAGGTTTGGACCTTTCTGCTTATATATCTACTAAGGTTTGGACCTTTCTGCTTATATATCTACTAAGGTTTGGATTTTTCTGCTTATATATCTTCCAAGGTTTGGACATTTCTGCTTATATATCTACTAAGGTTTGGATTTTTCTGCTTATATATCTACCAAGGTTTGGACCTTTCTGCTTATATATCTACTAAGGTTTGGACCTTTCTGCTACAAGGCACGGCATCCTGTGCAAGACCATCATGCAAGGCAACGTTGAAGGTGGACTTCGGAGAGGATGCCAACACAAAAACTCGTTGGACAATGTCAAACAATGGACAGGTATGACTGTACCAGAATTACTGATGGCTGCTGCTGATAGACCGTTGTAAAAAAATGTTAGTGTGACTTCGGCATTCGGATCAGCCCTACGATTACAAAAATCAAGGGGATGATAATCATTCTGCTGATGATGATTATGATGATGTTGATGATGATGATATAACAATATTTTTAGGTTTCTGCTAATATATCTACCAAAGTTTCGATATTTTTGCTTATATATCTAACAACGTTTGGACGTTTCTGTTAATATATCTACCAACGTTTGGAAGTTTCTGTTGATATATTTACCAATTTTTGAGCGCTCCTTGATGGGAGAAGAATGTTGGTCATATACACCTGCAATGGTCAATAAAACATTTGAACTTGTATCAATTCATGTATTCTTTTGTTTTATTGTTTAATAACACAATACAAAGCCAAAGAGATATTCAGGGCAGAGAATTACTGAATATGAACGCTGTCCGAATGTAGCTTCATTCTATCTAATGCAGTATGAAATCAATGTGGTTGATTTGTCTCAGTGTATGTGGTATGATGGGTCTTAGCTGTGAAGGCCTGAACTGGTGGAACTAAGGAGTGTAGCTCGTCAGAACATTTATCGTAGAAATAGCGATAGAGTAGCAAGTGGCTTGTTTGAGGGAAAGGGGTTGTATGACAGAAAATAATTAATCACCCACAAGGCCGTGGAGATGCTTTTGAACTATAAATGAACGTACGAGTATTTTGGAACGAAGTACAGATTATGAGTATATGTAGTACAAATAACGGTTGACCCTAGACTTGAGGAGGTTAATGGAATACAAAGGAAATGGTGATGATTCGTCCCAGGGTACGTAGCATGGTGGGTCTTAGCTGTGAAGGTCTGAACTGGTGGAACTAAGGAATGTAGCTCGCCAGAACATTGTCGTAGAAATAGAGATAGAGTAGCAAGTTGATTGTCTGTGGGAAAGAGGTGGTATAACAGAAAATAATTAATCACTCACAAGGTGTGAAGGTCTGAACTGGTGGAACGACTGAATGTAGCTCGTCAGAATATTCTCCACGGAAATAGCAATAGAGTAGAGAGAGACTTGTGATGTATTGTCTGTGGGAAAGGGATGTAGGATGAAAAATAATTCATCACCCACAAGGCCGTGTCGCGTAGTCTCTTTTGAACTCTATCGAAACTAGAAAGCGAGGACTGGGCAACTCCAGTCCAGATTTGGCCACAGTATTTCTTTTTTTGTCTGGACATTGTTGGAGGGAGTCTGGTACTTTCCGACCATTCTTCCAGCAATTTTAGCGATATTTTCAACAAAGAGAAATGCCGTAGCACAATTGTTTTAGGTAGTCCCAGGTTTTTTGTTTTATTCTTCACTAGTTCTCGATTAACAGGTTTGGCCCTTAAGATATATTCCGAATATATCATTTTTCAGGCTTTAAAAAAATAGCAGCATTTTTCCATAGGAATTATGGATATTTCGTTTTAGATTGTTTGGTTTCATTAGGCACTCCTTTCTCTGGTTATCTTTGAATTATCAGAAACTGAGTTTTCTCCAATCATATTAAAGGGTTGGACTCTCAATGATACCCTAAACTTTGAGCGTCTTTTAGGATTCAAGGTCCCTCCAGATCTCAAGAGGATTACACATATCCGATCCATTGATGAATGATCGACTCATTTTATCACACCAGAAAGTATCTGATTCCTGACATACTTAATCTCTACAAGAAGGGCAAAAATACCCAAAATGGATTATTGCGGCCATATCTGGTCTGAAACTGCTTAGCGCTCACTTTCCTGCCTTGTTTAAACCAGTTTGGTTATGTTAGACACATTGATGAGCAGCTTTCACATAATTCTCAAACTATCCAAATCAAGTGTTGAAAATCATTGAAACCAGTTTGATTATGTTAGTCACATTGATAAGTGGCTTCCTCATAATTCTCAGAATATCCCAATCAAGTGCTGAAAATTATTTAAAGTCGTTTGGTTATATTAGTTGCTTTGATGTGTCGTTTCCACATAATTCTCTAAATATTAAAATCTTGCATGGATTATCATTTAAATTAGTTTCGTTACTTCGGTGGAGATGACTGTACCAGAGTATTTGCCACCTTTCAAGTCTTTTCCGAGACAACTACATGGCATGCAGAAAATGGAATCCAAATAAAGTACTGTCGAGCTTTCATTTGGTCTCGTGTCCATGGACCTGAGGTATACATTTGGGATAATCATGATTCTTCTGCTTGACGTGGGGCCTCTTACGTTCACAGTTAGAGGAGACCACTGCGCACTAGTCTTCGTGGTTAGTGGTCACATTTTTCCTTTTTATACTATTTTCCATCTTGACTTTGTAGGTCAATTTAGCCTTTACTATCTTCACAATTATCTTGAAGAAGCTCAACCGAAATATTCGACCTAAGTGCTGATAAAGCTGAAGTTTTGTCGACTTCAAGAACTATTCCGTCTTGGGCTGATTCTACCTGTGTCTTGCAGGGAAAATGTGCATTTTGTTTGAAGTCACTTTCAGCCGAAAGAGCGCTGTTCAATTGGTGACCCGAGCATTTATGCAGTGCATGTTTGAAGCCTTCCTATCATGAAGTTAAAAGACCTTTAAATCATTGCGGATTCATTAGTCACTAATATGCTCCAATCAGCCTGAACATATTTGGATAACGTAATGCAGCCATCCTAGCCAAAGTATTTTTCAAGGTCGTTAGAATTTTGTCTATGTAAAACAATAAGTCGTCCAGAATAAAACGGTAAAACAAATCTATTTTAACAGCAATTTAATTGTCAGTAACAGTATTCTGGATAAAGTAGTTGACGTTCGGCATTCTCCATTCGTCCAACCCCGAAATTGAAGGTGTTCTCTTTAGCGATGACTGTTTTATGAGCAATCCCAGGCCGTTCCGAGCCGACTTCTCCTGTGTCGTTTTTTCCCGAGACTACGTCTCGGATTGGGAAGTTCTCGTTTAGATAGATGACTCTCACCCACTGTTGAAGCTTAAATAAGCATGGAATAATACAACACAAAATGTACGTTAACAAAATGTATTGAAACAAAGAATAGGTACACAATATTTACAGTTAGTTTGGTATATTCTTGGGAAGACTGTTCCTGCATAATGGGTTGACTAAATCGCAGTCGGGCAGAGTCTCTGGATTCAATTTCTTAATCTCTACTATCTTCCCCGTCTTCCGGTACCAACCCATATTTATATGGTCGGTAGTCCGCTTATGTAAATTAGGTGTATCATACACAACACCCACCAAAAAAAAAAAAATTTAATATTGATTTATTCAATTTCTCCATCCAACCGTTCTAATCTTAGTAGACCTTCTTAAAAAAAGAATATGGTACTTTCTTTGTTTAAAATTATGGCAGATATCTTTCTGTAAAGATCATTATATTCTTGGGCGATCAACAGAAACAAATACCAATCTTGGGGATTAACACAAATCATATGTTTTGTTCTTTGTCTAGAATAATTTGGATCATTCTTTACTGGAACCACACACGTTTTGTACAGATAGCCTACTGTAAAAAAAAAAAACCTTCCGAATTTTAATTTCTCAGGATCTAAGAAACTCGGACAATACATTAATCTTTTTTTTTCTTGTCGGTGGGAAGTGAATAAGGTTGGGTAATTTGATTCTGCTCAGTCTTGTATAGTTAATTTTCTGTTCGATCCTCCTTGAAACGGTTAAAAAACTATGGTTTATTATTTTATAATACAATTTTTTACTTCACTTTTTTCATTTTTTCTTAATTATTCAACCTGCTCTCCTGAAATGTTTACTAAGTATTATTCGCTTAGTAGCCCCTGGAAATCCCTATCCTTTAATTTCAGACAATGAACTTTTTAAACAGGGTCGGTTCCCTGTTACATAGTGAGTGTGTGTGTGTTTTTTAGTTCTTTACCTTTTCTTTTCAGCATTTTTATTCAATTCCTCACCTTTTCTTTTCATTGGTCCACAGACACGCATAACTCACCTTAGTACCATTGAAAACGACTTCTTTAAACCGTCTTCTCTATCTAGATTCAACGAATTCTTTTCCACTTCTTTGCCGTTGTATTTTTCAACATATTCCATTCGAGAGTTAATTCAATTTCTTCTTTCCGTCGTACAATTATAGTTTTTGGCACTCCTAAAATTATTGCCAATTGAGACGCAAACTGTCACGCAAACAAGTTTTAATTTTATCAGGCAATTTTTTTCCGCCTAAAGTCATATCGTTTCGTCTTATAAAAAGAAATCTAAAAATAAAATAATTTCCAGTTATACAAAATAACATAAGACACGTAAGTAACATCCTATATCCTTTCAAATTCCTTTCTTTTTATAGAATTTCTGCTATTAAAGAGTTCCGATTCAATAGCGACCAATAGGTATGTAGCAAAGGAACAATACAAGAGAGGTAATTTCGTCAACCAGATTATAACGATGTCTATATTTTAGAGTTACTTATAAGTTATGAGCTAAAATATTTGCTAGCTGTTTTGAGAAATAAAAATTCAGTAATTCTATCAGGGTTTATTGCAAAAAATGTTCATTCGGTACCATTGTTGATTGGTGCAAATAAACAGTACAATAGTCATCATTAACTAAGTAAATTGATTATATAAATCTGAAACTGTTTGTACAAAATTAGTCTTGTTACGCGGCTTGCCTTAATAATGAGATTCCACTGGATATATATATATATATATATATATATATATATATATATATATATATATATATATATAATCGTTAGCGGAGGTACACGGCATGGTTCGTTATTTAATTTCGTCTGAAGAAACATAAATAGTTAATGTGTATAGAGTATTAACATGACTAAGTGATGAAACCATTTAAAAACTTACTATCTTAAGTAGAATTATGATCCCTTTCCAATATAGAGGCTGACACGAAAGATATAAATAAATACACAATGACAATTAATATATAGTATTGAGAATGGCTTCCATTTACGAACGACTTTAACGCCTTTATCCACTGTGCCATGTCCTCAAGGATATAAAGGCATTAGTTAGATCCAGTGACAGGACCCAAAGAGTGTGAGTTCAATACCCGCTTAAGGCAGTGGAGAACTTGGAGAGGGGAATTAACAGGAGATAACTGATAACTGACATCCATTAAACATGGCACGTGGAACTAGAACAGTCTACCCCAGTTAGCGAAATAAAGGGTTCAGTTCGACATTCCAACCACCTGAAACGTTGGCGACAAAGATGAAGACAATAGTCCGAATAATGTAAATAGTGTACATAATGCCTCATCTCAGAAATATAAACAAATTTTATCGGAGTGTTTAAAGTTATTTTTGTCTGCGTTTTTATTTTTTTCACTTATACCTTTCGTTATTTCTTATATTCGTCAATTCTATCTCTCAGACTCGTCACTATATACATATATATATATATATATATATATAGGTGCGTGTGTGTGTGTAAATTTTTTTTCAGATAGAGTTTATCTGTAAATAAGAAATTGAATAAAAAGATAAAAAGAGACATTCGTTCTCTGAGGGATTTCATCACGACAAATGTCGGATTTATTTTGTTGCCTGTGTTTATATACAGGAGCAATGATGTAATTGGTTTATCAAGGCTTTTAAATTTGACGACGTTCACGAGTGTTCATCAGTCAGTCAAAACATATGGAAGACAAAAAGTGTCATAATTCAAAGTCTGACAAAATGTAAGCCAGTAATATTCAAGAATCTTTTTTTTTTCAAATTGTGATTAGATTTTATGATATGAGATGAACGTGTGTCCTGTACATCTTCAGAAACATGAGGGAATGGATTTAACCGTTTTCTTTTGATTTTTCAACATAATTGTGGTCGTGTATGTTGGTTTTGGAAATTCTTTCAAGATAGGTGAGATTGGGAAAAAAAACGGAGTTTAGATTTATATTTTGATAAGATTCGATAGCGGCACTCTTAAGAATTTTCCTTCTGAGTAAGTTACTTTCTCTTTTAATAAGTGTAGCATTCTTTAGATCAAAATTGTGGTTGAATTTATTTCTATGTATGACTAATGCATTTCATAAATCTTTTTACAACAAAACATGCATATTTTTGTATTTAAAAAAATCCGGAGCACAGATTTATATTTTGATAAGATTCGATAGCGGCACTCACGAGAATTTTCCTTCTGAGTAAGTTACTTTCCCTTTTGATGAGTGTGGCAAGTTTTAGATCGCTCTTGTATAGAAACCCATACAACAAAATAAATCCTACATTGCCTTGATAAAGTCCCCCAGAGGACGAAACGCGTCGGCTAAGTATAGTTTTACTCTTGTCTCTTTTTATTCATATATATATATATATATATATATATACATATGAATTTTTTCAATAGTGTTAGTATCTAATATAATATATATATGTCAAATCTGGGTATATATATATATATATATATATATATATATATATATATATATATATATATATATATATATATATATATATATATATATATATGCAATTTTATATATATTATTTATATATTATATATGCGTGGTACTTATTGGAAACGCTCAATAAATGGGTAAACAGTGGATAAAGGCGTTGGTTAGATCCAGTGACAGGTCCCAAAGAGTGTGAGTTCAATACCCGGTTAAGGCAGTGGAGAACTTTCAGAGGGAAATTAGCAGGAGATAACTGATAACTGACATCCATTACATATGGCACGTGAAAATAGAACAGTCTACCCCAGTGAGCGAAATAAAGGGTTCAGTTCGACATTCCAACCACCTGATGAAAGCCGGAGCGTACAACGGCCGAAACGTTGTGATAAATATGGCGACAAAGATGAGGACAATAGTCCGAATAATGCAAATAATGTACATAATACCTCATCTCAGAAATATAGACAGACTCAAGATAAATGTTCTAGCCAGAATTTATCATTCACATTTGTAAGTTCCCTATTCGTCCGTGGTCTGCTGATTCTGTTTTAGATCTAGACATTCTTGACAAAATCCAATGCAACGTTATCGGTCCTGACCTGGCATCTCGGCTTCAGTCACCATCTCGCCATTATAATGTACCTTCCCTTTGCCTCTTCTATAAATTTTTTTATGGAAATTATCTGATGAGATTTCTTCGTTGGTACCTCCACTCCACGAATGGAAGCGCGATACTTGACTGGCATATAGGTCTCAGCATGTAACAGTCGAAATGCTTTGATGTAACCGCAGGTTCTATGATGATAATTTCCTCTCCCGCATTTTTTTTCTTATGGGACACCCTTCCCATTTCCTGCTTTTCTAAAATGCAGTGTCATTTGTCATCTTCTGTATCATTGAATCCTGTTCTATTATTGTCCTTTCTGTTGTTTTACTCTCAGTAATCCACTTGCATCCTAGCGCCTTTTATCGCATGGGGAGAGATCATATATATATATATATATATATATATATATATATATATATATATATATATATAATCTGGCTTAATCGACATTACATACACAAACACACGCATAAAAATTAAAAGAGTACTCAATACATAGTAGAGCAGATATAATTATTTATTTAAAAATTATAACATAAATATGTTATAAAATCCTTACGAAGGATTGTTTATTAATTTGAAACTTTTAAAACCATTTATTTTACATTCAACATCATCATTTGATAAGACACCGTAGGTGTTGAAACAAAATGGCTATTATTGTAGTGATTTTATAATATATTTATGTTATAATTTTTAAATAATATATATATATATATATATATATATATATATATATATATATATATATACAAGTATATGATTGGTGTATACGGAATAAATTCCAATAACCAACAATTACTATTCTTAAAAGAGTGCTCAATGCAGAGTAGAGCGAATATAACTATTTATTTAGTTTTAATTTTAATTTCAAATTTTATCGTACAATTTAATACTTATTAGTTAGAATAAATTCTATTTTAGTATAAACCCACCTTTAAAACATTTAATAGTTATTATAACCTTACTTCGTTGTCAAGTTTTTTGAATTCTCGTATACTTGTATTTTGATTGGTCATTTCAGCTCATGTAACAGCTTTTCCCCTTATGAGGGGTGGTTAATTAATTTGAACCTTTTAAAACCTTTCTTCTACAATCTACATTCAACATCATCACTTGATAAGACACCAAAGGTGTTGAAACAAAATGGCTATTTTTGTAGTGATTTTATAACATATTTATATTATAATTTTTAAATAAATATATATATATATATATATATATATATATATATATATATATATATATATATATTATTGTCTCGAAGGTTGAGTTTTCATTTGAATGATGCAGCAAACATATCACAAAAACTTTCAACAGTCTGCCTGTCCACATTCGCAATTTTGGAAAATTCTCGTTGAAAATGCATCTATACTTTTTCATGAAAATAATAAACATCAACTAAAAATCCTTGAAGCTATCTATATTAAAAAATTGAAACCAAACCTTAATAAAATTAATTATGAATACTGCACAAATGTTTTAAAATGTTTACAGTCGATAGTTTAAAAGATCTAAGTTATAATTGATAGATTTTTAAAAATTTATATGGACATTTCAAACTTCGTATTACCTCACCTTATATCGTGAAATCTAAACCGTAGAATACATAACCATAGCGTTTTTCACTTTACGATTTAAAATAACATTCAGATGAACACAGCAAAAAAAAAAACAACTCCCTGATGATAACATTGTACTAATATCGAAAGTATTTAGAATAAATGACTATGTACCAACATGGCAACTTTGTCTCTTCATTTCGTATGGATACTAAGAAGCTTGTCCGTTTTATCTTTGTTCAAATGCTATTTGCTTATTATTATATATATGGCTGTGTGTTGGGCACCTCGAGGTGGTGTAATGGTTAGCAAGCTTGTCTCGCTAGAACAATTACGACTGAGTAAGTGTGTTCGATCCTCACTGGGGCCCACTACTTTCAGCCTTGTGCCACATCTAAGCTACGCTTGGAAAATCACTTTGGGCACCTCGGCGTGGTGTAACGGTTAGCAAGCTTGTCTTGCTAGATCAGTTACGACTGAAAAGTGAGTTTGATCCTCACTAGACGCCCCATACTTTCGGCCTTGTGCCACATCTAAGCTACGCTTAGAAAATCAATATATATATGCATGTGTGTGTGAGAGAGAGAGAGAGTGAGTGAGAGACAACCATTCTCATTTTCGTTACGTCTCTTTCTATGTAGTCTCCTTATATCTATTTTACGGTCGCATCACATTTTAACACCGGTTCCGGTTCGGTAACCGAAGTTAAGCAACGCCGAGCCTGGTCAGTACCTAGATGGGAGACCGCTTGGAAATACCAATTGCAGTCAGCTGCGATGTGTGGGTCTAGTAATGGATAATAGCTCGGAATTTTTAATTGAAGAGCCGAGTTCCAATTCCAGTTGGGTTTGTTATATTTCCTTTCACACAAATACCCACTGGGAAAGGTATGAATTTCCCTCTCCTTCTTCTCAGCTATGGGTTAATTAATAAGACCTATATCAATTAATCATTATATCTTTAAAAAATAGTTAATTCTAAAAATTTCCACATGTCTATCCACCTTTCTGTTTCAAATCTTTATCAACGTCTCCTTTAATCATATCTACTTGTCACCTATTTTCTGGCTTTAAATAACCTACAAAGGGTTGATAAACCGTAGAAAACGAATCAATCAATCAATGAAATCTTCATATCTATCTATCGACTTGGGTTATTCTTATCTTTCTATCTCAATTTCACATGTCTATCCGCCTTTCTGTTTCAAATCTTTATCAACGTCTCCTTTAATCATATCTACTTGTCTCCTATTTTCTGGCTTTAAATAACCTACAAAGGGTTGATAAGCCGTAGAAAACGAATCAATCAATCAATGAAATCTTCATATCTATCTATCGACTTGGGTTATTCTTATCTTTCTATCTCAATTTCCACATGTCTATCCGCCTTTCTGTTTCAAATCTTTTTCAAATCTTTATCAACGTCTCCTTTAATCATATCTACTTGTCTCCTATTTCTATGGCTTTAAATAACCTACAAAGGGTTGATAAGCCGTAGAAAACGAATCAATCAATCAATGAAATCTTCATATCTATCTATCGACTTGGGTTATTCTTATCTTTCTATCTCAATTTCCACATGTCTATCCGCCTTTCTGTTTCAAATCTTTATCAACGTCTCCTTTAATCATATCTACTTGTCTCCTATTTTCTGGCTTTAAATAACCTACAAAGGGTTGATAAGCCGTAGAAAACGAATCAATCAATCAATGAAATCTTCATATCTATCTATCGACTTTGTCTCCTTTTATTCTTATCCTATTTTTCTATCTCAATTTCGAAACATGTCTATCCGCCTTTCTGTTTCAAATCTTTATCAACGTCTCCTTTAATCATATCTACTTGTCTCCTATTTTCTGGCTTTAAATAACCTACAAAGGGTTGATAAGCCGTAGAAAACGAATCAATCAATCAATGAAATCTTCATATCTATCTATCGACTTGGGTTATTCTTATCTTTCTATCTCAATTTCCACATGTCTATCCGCCTTTCTGTTTCAAATCTTTATCAACGTCTCCTTTAATCATATCTACTTGTCTCATATTTTCTGGCTTTAAATAACCTACAAAGGGTTGATAAGCCGTCGAAAACGAATCAATCAATCAATGAAATCTTCATATCTATCTATCGAATTGGGTTATTCTTATCTTTCTATCTCAATTTCCACATGTCTATCCGCCTTTCTGTTTCAAATCTTTATCAACGTCTCCTTTAATCATATCTACTTGTCTCCTATTTTCTGGCTTTAAATAACCTACAAAAGGTTGATAAGCCGTCGAAAACGAATCAATCAATCAATGAAATCTTCATATCTATCTATCGACTTGGGTTATTCTTATCTTTCTATCTCAATTTCCACATGTCTATCCGCCTTTCTGTTTCAAATCTTTATCAACGTCTCCTTTAATCATATCTACTTGTCTCATATTTTCATAACTTCCTGCTGAAATTTCCGAGTGCCCACCGGAAATTAATCATCTCTTCTTGTCATCCTGAATTCTTCACATTCAATCTCACCTGTCAGTTATAATTACATTTGATTTCACAAAATCGTTTCTTTTTTTTTTTACACTCCATCCTTTGATTTTGTTGACTTCACTGTCGACATTTTTCTTGAAATAGAAATTAACGTATGCAAAACACATGCAAGGTTGTCATGGTAACAAGTGATCAAATAACAGAGAGTTTGTTGATTAAAGCTGTGAACTGCAACCTCGAGTCGAAGATTCGAAGATGTTGTTTTTTTTTTTTTTTAGGCAAAGAAGTAAGAATTAATCAAAAATAAAATGCAAACCTTCTCAAAGCTTATGATTAATTAGTCTTGACTTGTATTTCTTTCATTTGGTGATACAAGATAAAGAGTTACTCGTCACTTTGACGGAAGGAAAAATGCGTTGTATGTGTAGTGTCCTTTCAGGATATGGTCGAGCATGGGGCACCACAACTTCCTATCCTTTATACCTTTAAGTAATGTTGGTTTCATTGTGCTTCCTTCCAAAACCTGTTCTACACCCATTTTCACAAGCTCGTTAGGTAGGTTAGTTACAGTTTCCATCTATCTATCTATCTATCTATCTATCTATCTATCTATCTTCATGTGTTCTTATCTATCTTTTCTATCTATCTTTGTTCATATCTATTATTATTTATTTATATCTATTTCTGGCTCTTCATATCTATCTATCTATCTATCTATCTATCTGTTCATGTATATATATATATATATATATATATATATATCTGTTATATATATATATATATATATATATATATATATCCGTCTGTTCATAATATAGTCTTAAGATGTGCTATATTTATTGAATAAAGTGCTCAATATCAGAGATAGAGCGTGTGTAAATATAAAAGTGAACATAGAAGTCAACACTTAGAGGTGACTGTCTGTTTCATGCTAGGTACAATCGTCAGTCCTGACGATCGCATCTAGCATGAATTTATATATATATATATATATATATATATATATATATATATATGTATATATATATATCAGGTCATCCCATAAGTTCTGTCCGAATTTTACCTATTTTGTTGAAATGAACGAAATTTAAAGAGTATTTCATAATGTCTAAATGAGCTGAACATTATTTTTATGTTTAGATGCATTTAAACTGATCAAATTTTATTTCAGAGAACAATAAAATTAAATTTTGTTTGATTAAAACCCTACTAACATGGAAGTACCAAAGAATCCTTTGAGGCACATAATGCTTTATGAGTTCAAGAAAGGAAACTCAGCAGCCGAAGCGGCTAGAAACTTTCACTCAGTTTATGGAGAGGAATGTGTGAATGAAAGAATTGTCTGAAAACAACCTCAAATCCCGAGTTGACATCTGCTCTTCTCTCCATTCTCGCCAACTTGTTTCACTTTTTTTGGATAGACTTGTGACTGTCGAGGAAGAATGGATATTTTATCGAAATGTTAACCGAGAAGGAAACTTCATAGGCAAAATGTTCTTCTTTCAATCTGGTGGGATCTCCAAGGCAAAATCCACTTTGAATTCTTACCACCTAATGCAACAATTACTGCGTTTGAACCAAGCTTTGAGGAAAAAAGACCTGCTCTAGTGAATCGAAAAGAGGTGATGTCTCATCAGGACAATGCGCGTCCCCACACAGCAAGAATCACGTCACAAAAGAACGAAGAACTTGGTTGGGAGAAAATTCCTCATACACCTTATTCTCCCGATCTTGCTCCTTCAGACTACCATTTGTTTCGTAGCTTACAGAATCATTTGGAGGAAACAGCTTTTGTAACACCGAAAGAGGTTAAAACTGACATTTGTGTGTTCTTTAAATCAAAGCCCAAAGAATTTTACAGAAATGGAATTAGTAAGCTTGTTAATAGATGGAAGGAAGTCATAGATAATCAGGGAAAATACATTGTTGCTTGAATCTGTATTTAAATGTAACATTTGGTCACTTGTTTTCTTTATTCAAAATTCGGACAGAACTTATGGGATGACCTGATATATATATATATATATGGCCTGACGATTGCATCTAGCATGAAACAGACTGTCGTCTCTAAGTATTGACTTCTATGTTCACTTTTTATATATATATATATATATATATATATATATATATATATATATATATATATCAAACTTTACTGGAGGGGTCGATCCCAGCGTGCGGCACCTTTGAAAAGTAACTGAAAACCATACCACCTGTTGAGCCAAGATTTATGAATGAAAGTGAGTAGACAGAAACCTTTTGCGCCGTCATTAGCCGTGGTCGAGGGCTTGAGCGTGCTGGCCTTGTTTAAATTGTTGTTCACTCTAGATAACACGCTCTCTCCCAGAAACTGTAACCTAGTTCTGCTAAGCATAGTTGCAGTATAAATGACAGGTGGGCTCTGTGGGTGTTGAATAAACACAAATGCGCCTGAGCAAGCGTCTGCAATAGGGATTGGCTAGCCGCCTTAGTAGACGGGTATACACGAATACGAGTTGCCAGCTTGATATATATATATATATATATATATATATATATATATATAACGAAATATAGTTTTAAGGTGTGCTATATTTATGGGATACGACAAGCAATCTAAACAGTGGACAAATACATAGCGTTAATAGATTACCCACAATGCACCATTGACCCATATATATAAATAGCCGAATAAAAATCCAGTATTCGTGGCCTGACGATTGCGTCCAGCATGAAACAGCCTGTCGCCTCTGAGTCTTGACTACAATGTTCACTTATATATATATATATATATATATATATATATATATATATATATATATGTGTGTGTGTGTGTGTGTGTGTGTGTGTGTGTTTGTTCATATATCCTATCTTGCCTTCATATCCTGTGAGTGTCAAGTTCTCCAAGCGTCCTTTTTGTTTAGATTTTATGTTAAACCTCCTTGTTACTCAAACGTTCAGTCCATGGTATTCTCGGCATCCTTTTCTGGAGCTACATCTGTGTTCCCTGAAGACTCATCTTCATCTGTAAGGCGATTGGTCAACATACATTGCCATTGAGGAAGACTGATATTACATCGTAGTTCAGTATTCATTCACAAAAACCTCTTTACTACATTATATTTACTACATATTTCCGCCACAATTATAAATGTTTACCACTTATTCTTTTCATTTTTACAATTTTATGTTTTAATAAAATCCGCAGAGTGTGGCTGCTTTTGCTTCTTTCATTGTTTTTTAGCAAAAGAGACGGCTCAACATACAAATTACAAATTGGGGATAACAAACACAAACAAGTGCATTTTTTTAAGCTTTTCACCACAGCAAGGCAGGAGTGCCATTAGCATGCACGGGGGTATGGAGAGTGAACGTGAGAGAAAATAGTGGGTGTTGGAGGGATTGAGGAAAGGAAAAAAGGACAGAGATCAAGGCAAAATAGCGATTGACGTTGCATTTAAATTTTTAAACATTGTAGTTATCAGGGAAGAAAGTGAGAGGAATGGAGTTTCAACATCGCAAAATGAGAGGAAAGAAACTGTTGGAGTAGAAGTGGCTGTTACATTTAACTATTTCAACAGTAAATGAGTGGGACCTAAATGCCAATCGAGTAACACGCTTAAATTCACGCAGTCGGCTCACCAGGGAAAAAAGATCGTCAGAGTAGTAGCCATGAAAATATTTGTAGAAAAGTCAGAGGGAAGCTACATCACGTCTGTGAGAAAGTGCCTGAAGTCGAGGAGCCAATTCAGGACCTATTACATTACAGGTTCTTCTTTGGATTTTGCCGACAACCTCGAGATGAACGGCAGGGGCACCAGACCAGATACGGAAACAGTATTCAATGCAAGGACGAATGGTAGATTTGTAGATGTATAAGATGGACTCTGACGATAAATAGCTTCTGGCACGACACAGTGAACCAATTTTCCTTGCGGTAGATGCAGCTATTGATTCAATGTAGTTGTTGAAAACGGGAGGCCAAGAAGGCGCAGTGAGACGCTCTCACGGAGACGAGTATCAACTATGCTGATGGCGAGGCAAGGACGTTTTAAATGAGAGCAGGATCTGGGATGATTTTTTTTTAACAGAGGGTGCAAAGCGCGACACTGAAATCCGAGGACGCATTTTGGATAATGAAAATTGTCTTCAAAAACCTAGGCTAAGCATTAAGAAGTAGGAAAATTTGGCTAGAAACAAGGAAAAATGCGCTGAGCTATTATGTAATGTTACACCTCTTATATGGCAAAGAATGATGGACAATCACCCCATAGACGAAAAAGAGACTCGAAACAACAGAAATGTGGTTCTACAGAAGGATGCTGAGAATAACATGGATCGAATACGTTTGCAACGACGAACTTTTAGAGAAAATAGAAATAAAAGGACACATATTTAACATCAGAAAGAGAAAGTTGAAAATTATTTTGCATATAATGAGGAAAGAGGGCTTAGAAAGTTTGATAGTCATGGGTGAGATTAAAGCCAAGTGGAACAGTGGAAAATAAGGAATAACACACATAGCGAGTATGTGTAAATGGATGGCAGAACAGGGTTGAAGATAGATAATAAAAAGACAAAAATCTGGAAATTGTGGAGAACCATGTTCGTCAGCGTTCTGCAGGGAAATGGCCAAAAGAAGAGAATTTAAACATCTTGAGCTTTTCAATTTCATTTAGTTTTATTTTCTTGTTGACTTCAACATTGCCATCCATCAAGCAGATCTTTTCTTTTCCTAATGATCAGATCTGATCTCATGGCCTGGACTGATGAAATTCACAGTTTTGATAATTGTCCGTGCTATTCAAAATGGAACTAATACAAAAAAATTTCTTGAGGTGCAAGTCATCCTCATCATGGCTTAGCTTCGCAAAACGAAGATCATAAGTGTTATGGTAATTTACCCATGCATGCATGGACTCTACCAGATATAAATAGGAGCAGGTACTGCCTTTTGGAGAGGGAAGTTTCCAGCAGTTAGCACTGACAGTCGAACCGAACATTCTTGCTGTAACACTCTCGTTTGTATATGTTTATATTATTGTTTCTGTTAATATATTTGTTTAACTCAATTCCTCTTTTTATGTCTTTATTTCCGGCCATAACAAGGCCACGACAATACTTTTTTCGATAACAACAGAAACATTAGCGTCTCTTACACCAAATCAAATGTATACGTTCCGGTAGATAGAGAATGACATGTGATTTGACTTTCAAGATCAAATGTACATTGCATTAAGCATTAAGGCCAGAGATCTTTTATATATTAAAGTTATGGTAATTTACCCACGCATGCATGGACTCTACTGTCTTTTTGGAGAGGGAAGTTTTCAGCTGTCAGCGCTGGCAGTCAGACTGAACATTCTTGCTGTAACAATCTCGTTTGTAACTGTTTGTATTACTGTTTCTATTAATATATTTGCTTAACTCAATTTCTCTCTTTGTGTCTTTATTTCTGGGCCTAACAAAGCCAAACAAATAGGAAGTCTCTACACTTCGTTTGTAGGCACGTTTGTGAGTGATAAGTCCAATGCGGGACAGGCATACACGGTTGCAGTAGTTACAGGTGAAAGTCCGGCCTGGAGGGGCAAGAAACATAACGGTTATCCACATAGAAAATGGAATCAGCGAACCGAGCCTGTATCTTCTTTTACGGTCACTTCCGTACAAATTTCCTTAGACAAATCCAGAGATCCATCTTTTTTTCCCCATCCTTTGGGTTAGATATCAGAGTAGGCTAGGCTTTCTAATTTTGGATTGCAAGCAGTCTAAGAGAAGGGCAACTCTTTATTTCGAACCATGGAGAAAAACACAAGAAACCAATTAACCCTACTATTCAAAAAGCTACGAAAAGTTACAAATAATCAAGAAAAGATATCCGTGAAGAGTTATGATGGCCGACGTCTTAGTTTGATTTGTTTTTCTTTTTTTTACAGCTTATCAGCATTTCGTGGGTTATTTAGAGCCGAAATATATTTTGGATTGAAGGAATAACAATTCTTTTAGGAAGTGAATATTGTATCAACAATTTTTTGCGAATAACAATGATTTTTCCATATACAAGGCCTTTTATTTAATCCATAGCTAGGAGGAATATATAAATTCATACCTTTTCCTAGGGTATTAGGATTTAAGTGAATGTAAAAACTCCACTGGAATTTGAACTCGGCTCTACAACTTCTTATTCTAAGCCGCTATGAACTGCAGCACACGCATATTCCCCAAAGACGCCCTGAAAGATACACTATTTAAAAAAAAAGAATTGAATAGAGTCGAGAGAAATTTGCATAATTCTGTGTCCGATTCGCTACACTATCTACCTGACTATTAAAGGCTTTTTCACATTTGCAAGGTCGAATTTACTGCTTATAAACTTCAATTCACCTTGCCCACCGAACGATCCTTTGTGGCCGAATGGTTAGGCACGTCAAGCTAAATGACGGTTCCGTATAGGATGGTTATGGAAAGACATTCAGGCCGGTAAATGTTATTTAATACTGTTTATTATAAACAGAGCATTTACTTAAAAAAAACTTGTATCTATAAAAAGAATGGTTCTTTTAATAAATTGTCGGACTTTGTCCATTTCTTAATATATATATATATATATATATATATATATACGGAGAAGATCGATCTGAAGAGTTGAGAACCTCAGTGTCCACGAAATAAATTATACTCTAAATGGACGAATATTTTATAATATGCAGAAAGTTCTTCTCTCTCTGGATTTATACATTCATCCCTTCCAGTCATAAACTGGTAAATATTATTTATATATATATGTTTATTATAAACAGAGTTTTTGGTTGTAATGTTTTTATTGAGAAAAAATATTATACTTTGTTTTACATAAAAAAACGTGTTTCTGGTCTTCGCAAATCTTATGAAAAAAAGAATATTAAAATAATTAAAAAATTCTTTGCAGACCTGGCAGAAATTGGTCATAAAAGAATTTAGATTGTCCAATGTTATCGGCATTTAATCTTTTAATGTTTTCCTGTGTGCTCTTGGATCTGCTATTTTGAACGTAAAAAATCTCCACTTTCACCTGAAGACGGTTGTGAGACCGTATGTAAAACAAAGTATAATATTTTGACTTTGAACCACTACAACATATTTTTTATATATATATATATATATATATATATATATATATATATATATATATATAAGTTGTGAATTACGTGTTCCTTACACAAAATCAGTCTGATCCTTCTTATTTCTCTGGATGTCCTTCTGCACGCTCCGAATAATGAGATACGCCAGTTGGCCAATCGAAAGGCTGTCGTCTCTTTAAAAAATACATAGTCAGAAATTGGTAGAATTTAGATTGAATTTGCACCTCACTTGAGAATAATACTTTAAAAATACATAGTCTATTTCCTCACAGAGAATAATACAACGTTCTGTAAGGATGCGATCATGAATCTATCACAAATATAGCGGTAGGTTGTAGAACAAAATGTTATATATACCGGGTGTAACAGTAAAATTGTTCAAATCGTGTAACAGCAAAATTGTCCAATTGTTAGATTAATTTTGAACCGTTGTATCTTAGAAAAGATTAAAGATATCTTACCGGAATTCTCCGAGGTCTTTATAACACTATTGGACTTTACTTTGAACTATAAGAATGTATTTATCTCTGAGTTGAAATGATGATCTCTCTTCCTCTCGTGACAACCTCTTTTTTAAACTTATTCACCATTCTCTTGATGGTTCTTGAATGGACTTTCAAGATGGAAGCCAAAGTATGAATGTTGTCACCATTGCTGAAGGCCTGAATGATCTTTTTCGTCTCACTGTTGCTAAGTTATGAAGACATAGTGGATCCGTCACAAAATGATGTTAAACTGGTTTTCTAGCTGAATAACTCAAAGGTTTTTTCAGTGATTCATACAAGTGGTTTCAAAATGGCTAAATATCTTATCTGAAAATTTCGAAAAAAGAAACTCAATTAGTTTAGTGATGTTTAGATATTAAACATTTTGTGGAATGGGTAATTATGCTGTTACATTATTTGGACAATTTTGCTCTTACACCAGGTATATAGTTGACTAAATCTATGTAGAAATTTAGCTATGAAATTTTGTCCAGACCCAATTTTGCTTGCCTTATGATAAATTCAGCAACTGAAACATAGAGAGCGTACGGTTTGCTTAACTTCACATGCATAGGCGCTTTAATGTTGTGTAATAGTTAGAGAGCTTATCTCACTAGATCAATAAAGACTGAGTAGTGAGTTCGATTCTCACTAGGTGCTCCATACTTTCGGCCTTGTGCCACATCATAAATGCACGTGCACATAGAATGGTTGTTAAATGGGCGAAAGGCTCATTTTCTCTAGGCTCTCCAAAACTTTGGGCCGATACTCTCCATATAAGCAAATATATAGATTGTTAGAATTCCATGCCATTAATGTTGGTTATAGACTCGTAATTTATTGGTGAAAATGTTCAGAGAACGGAATCAATGTTGACTTCGCTTCGCTTGATTCAGTTAATGAATGCTTTCATGAATGATTATTCTTTGGCGGGGGGGTAAACATTTTCACTGGGCACAAAATGTAATCAAAGGAAACGTTAAAATGATCAGAATGTTTTGCTTTGAAAAAAAAAAATCATAAATGTCCCTCGACACGGGGTATAAATTAAATGGACGAACAGATTATCTCTTGTCGGTGTGAACGAGAAAGGGGGAGAAGAGGAAGAGGGAGGAGGAAGAAGGAAACAGAGGGCAAAAAAGATAGGGAGAGAAAGAAGGAGAGAAAGAGTGAGATGGAGGGAGGATATTAAAAAAGGAGAGAATGATAGACAGGGAGGAAGAGAAAGAGGAAGAGAGAGAGGGAGGTAGGGAGAGAAAGATGGAGAGAAAGCGAGAAATAGATGGATGGAGGGAGATAAAAAGGGAGGGAGAGAGAAAGAGAGGAGGATGGAGAGGGAGAGAGGCAAAGAACGAAAGAGGGAGGAAGAGAAAGACAAAGAAGGATATAGGGAGGGAAAGGAGGAGAGAAAGCGAGAGATCGATGGATGGATCGATCGGGGGAGGGAAGGAGGAAGGGAAATAAAAAGGGAGGGACAGAGAAAGAGAGGAGGACGGAGAGGGAAAGAGGCAAGGAGCGAAAGAGGGAGGGAGGGAAAGAACGAGAGAGAAAGAGGAGGAGAGGAGGAAGAAGAAAAAATGAGAGAGAGGGAGGGATGGAAAGACTAAGAGAGAGGGAAGCAAAAAGAGAAAGAAGCAAATGGAGGGAGGCAGAGAGAGAAAGAAGGAGAGAAAGAGGGAGATGGATGAACGGATATAGGAAAGGGGAGAGGAAGGAGGAGATTGAAGGAGAGAGAGAAGGAAGGGGAGAAAGACGAAAAAGGTGTAAGGCAAAAAGAGAAAGGATATGGAAGCGGCATAGAGATAGAGTAGAGAAAGAGGGAGATGGATGAAGGGAGGGGGAGAGAAAGAGGGGAAGGATGAGAAAGGAGGAGAAAGAAGGAGAGGGAGGAGGGAGATAATGATGGAGAGAAGGAGGGAGAGAAAAAAGGCAAGAAAGAGCAAGATGGATGGAGGGGGATAAAGTGGGAAAGTGAGAGATAAAGAGTGAGGGGTATAGAGGGAGAGAAAGAGGGCGAAAGAGATATAGCGAGGGCGGGATAAAAAGAAGGAAACGCAATAGATTGCATTAATCTCATAACAGATTACACTTGCATCTGTACACGATATTAATAAAAAACCATTAGCTGCTAGTAGGTGGGGTAGATAGCTATTATATATATATATGTTATATATATATATATATATATATATATATATATATATATATATATGTGTGTGTGTGTGTGTGTGTGTGTGTGTGTGAAAAGTGTAGTATATATATATATATATATATATATATATATATATATATATAATTTTTATATGCTATATGCGGTACTTAGTAGAAAGCGCTCAATATCAGAGATAGAGCTAACATATTTGGTTGGATTGATGTGTGTTTGTGACCCTGGGTTTCACGCTTTTGCGATCGTCAGGCAAACTGTCTGACGATCGCAAAAGCGTGAAACCCAGGGTTACAAAAATATCATCAATCAAACCAATATATATATATATATATATATATATATATATATATATGGACTGAAATAGGTAGGTAAATATGAGTACAATGAGATATATATGAATAGAATGAGATAGATAAATCGATAGATACATATGAACAAATTAGGTAGCTATGAGTAGAATGTGATAGATATATAGATAGACAAATATGAGTAGAAAGAAACAGGAATGAGATAGATATGAGTAGAAAAAATAGATAGGTACATAAGACAGATATGTAGATATGGAAAGAATAAGATAAACAAGATATGAGTAAAATGAGACAGATTAAAATAGAATGAGATGGATAGATAGATGCATATCAGTAGAATAAGATAGATAGACATGAACTGAATGAGATAGATAGATAGATAGATAGATAGATAGATAGATAGATAGATAGATAGATAGATAGATAGATATGAGTTGAATGAGATAGATAAATAGATATGAGTTGGATGAGATAGATATAGAGAGATATATAGGGTGATAGATAAATATGAATAGAATGAGAGAGATATGAATAGAATTAGATATATAAATATGAATAGAAATTAGATACGAATATAATGAGATAGATAGATAGATAGATAGATAGATAGATAGATAGATAGATAGATAGATAGATAGAAAGAACAGGCTGAAATTTGAAGAGAATGCAATAGATAGATAGATAGATAGATAGATAGATAGATAGATAGATAGATAGAACAGGCTGAGATTTGAAGAGAATGCAATAGATAGATAGATAGATAGATAGATAGATAGATAGATAGATAGATAGATAGAGAGATATAGGGTGATAGATAAGTATGAATAGAATGAGAGAGATATGAATAGAATTAGATATATAAATATGAATAGAAATTAGATAGATACGAATATAATGAGATAGATAGATAGATAGATAGATAGATAGATATGAATAGTTCGAGATAAATGTATATAATGTGATAAATAGAAATGTAGACACGACAGAATAAATAAAGAGCCACATATATATATATATATATATATATATATATATATATATATATATATATATATATATATATATATATATATAATGTGTGTGCTGCATTTGGGTCCATATAAACGCATAAAAGAAAAGATGAGAGCTGAAGCCTTTATAATCGGATGCATCAAATAATTTTTCTTTGCTTCATTACTTCTTACATCAATGAAACATATTTTCTAAGTTTTCTACAATCAAAACATTTTTATTGCTTGTTTCCACTGGAAACTGTATTTTTCTCTCTTTAATCTATCCAATGATGTCTTCCATCAACTAACGTTCGCATTTACTGACTGTTCTTTTTTCTTGTTGAATATTTCAATTGCAATCCGTCAAGCGGAATATTTTACAAGAAAGAGGCTTCGAGTTTGTTTTATGTTAATCTCCCGTTTCTTTTTGTTATGTTTTAAGATTTGCTGGTGAAAGGAACAAAGAGGACGCGAAAAGCACCAAGTAAGGCAAATTAATAAAAGAAAGAAAAAAGAAAGAAAGAAAGAAAGTGAGAGAAAACGAGAATAAAGAAAGATGTGATAGGTAGTAACAGAATTAAAAAAAAAGACGAAGAGGGGATGAGAAGGTAGAGAAAGGTAAAAAAAAAAAAGAAGAGAAAGGTGAGAAGATGAGGAGAAGAGAGATGGAGAGGGGGAGAGGAGTTTACAAGAAATAAAGACAAAAGTAGAGGAGATCGGGAGGAAGAGAAATAAAAAGAAAAGAAAGGAAGGAGGGGGTTGAAGAATCAAAACAGGAAGCGAAGAAAGACTATATAATGACGAAGACAAAAAAAAAACGAAAAAGAAAGAAACAGAAACGTAGATGAAAAGGAAGAGAGAAAAACAGAAAAGGAAGAGAAAGAAGAAAAATGAGGAAGGAGAGAAAGAAAAACAAGAAAAAAGGAATGAGAATTCTATTCTATTTACTGATCCTCATGAGTTTCTTATTCGCTCACGGCCTCCGGGCTCTCTTCTAAACACCTTTTTTCTAAGCTCCGTTTTAATCCAATTCAATGCCTCAAGGTGTGACAAACGGAAATGAACACATTCCAGTAGTAATCATATTAAAGCTAGACTTATTTATTCATCTAATCACGACACACTGTCATGTATATAAGATCCCCGATGAGGTTAGAAACCAGCCACGACATTAGTAATAGACTATGAAACTAGCTTGATGTACATTGCACGATGTTGAGATGAAATGACTGATATATGCTTAGCTTGTCTTATGACTGACAAAATCGCAAACACACGCACAGACATATATATATATGTGTGTGTGTGTGTGTGTGTGTGTGTATGTGTGTGTATGTGTGTATACGATGAGAACGAATAGAGTACAAATCGTTCACTCGTCAGTAATTTACATTTGCCTGATGAGACATATTGACATGCGTTGAAATACGACTTCAGTTGTGTAGAAATTTTACGTTTTCGGTGAAATATCCTAAAAGTAATATATATATATATATTAAAGACATTTTATATATATATTTATATATATATATATATATATATATATATATATATATATATATATATATATATTATTATATAGACAAAAACAGTTTACTCACTACAAAGATGCAACTTCGTTTCAGTGCATTTCAGTTGCACCTCAACTGGTGAAGAATCAAAATAATTATCGCTCTACTATCGGTATTGAGCCCTTTTTTGGATTAATGCTGTGAACGTTAGAATTTATATATTACTTTCCGTTCTCATTGCATCGGATGTATATATATATAGAGATAGATAGATAGATAGATAGATAGATAGATAGATAGATGTTGAGCCTTTATTCGAAATACCAAAATGACATGAGATGCTGACATGATTTGCCACGAATTGAAAATTTCAGAAAGCAACGTCGTTACCCGTAGAAAGAGTATTGCTTTACAAATAAACTGCTGACTTTTTTTAGTTTTCATTAAATTTAACTGCAATCAGAATCCATGTTTTTTTTTTATACAACTACTGCACCTGTATGTATTACAATATTTTAATCAAAACACGGTAGAGACTGATAGCTTACCTAATTGTCCTTCTCAGCCACACAATGATGTCATCGATGACCGACCCCTCCTTCCAGTTTCACACACCTGATGTAGAAGTAGTGCTTGGTGTTGCATTTGTATATTTTTAGTTGTGATCAGGTTTTTTTCTTTCTTTCTTTTTTTCTTTTTTGTATACGTACAGAAAACAAAACATCATTTTTACATGAAATCTTAATTTCACAACTTAAACATCGATGTACGCATTACAGCGTGTGATGGGTAAATTGTTGCTATTTTATATTCTTAATTTCGCGCGTGCGTTTTGTTTGTTTTTGATTTTGTTGGTTGTACAGTATAATAGATAAGTTGGGCAACGTCTGTGAGAAAACGAGCACCATGATACAATTCACTCCGCCATAACTTCGGAAAGGGTATGCTGTACTGCTTGGCATTCGCACCGGAAACTCCAATACCAACATTTCAGTGTGTCATTCTATGGACAGTCTAGAGTGTCAATCTGTGGACAGTTTAGAGTATTTGGAAAGAGTTAGGTGAGTCTAATTGTGATACGAAGGTGTTTGGAGTGACCACTAGTAATGGTGACGTTAAGCCTCCATTCATCTTCCCAGAAGGCCTCAGACTCAACACGTAGGCCTACATCAAGTGCCATGATGAATTAGTACTGTCTTGGTTCGGTGTGGTGGCTGCTGGAAGATCCTATGTCAAGCAACAGGATTCTGCACCATGCCACATAAGCAGGAAAACTCTGTCGTGGCGACCACATCACCCCTTACATCTGGCTACCTAACTCCCCAGACAGCAACCCCCTTGATTATTTTGTTTGGGTTGCAGTTGAGCGAGAGACCAAGAAAATTCCTTGTAACACAAAGGATGAACTTAAGGCAAGGACTATGGCAGCATTCACCAAATTAAACAAGGGGACAGTTCAGAAGAGATGCTGGATATTTCGAAGTCGTCTGGACGCCGTGGTTGAAGACAATGTCGATTTTATTTAGTATTTCATGATACTTTTGTGTAATTTTGGTAAATATATCTGTCAAAATGAGATGTCAATGTTCTATTCATGTTTGCATAATTCCGACGACAATTTATCCATCGCACTTTGCACATGATTAACACTATTACCTTTATCTATATTTTAGACAAGATTTATTAGATTTTATATAAAACTACCTACATTATTTAGATTATTCGGACTATAGTCCTCATCTTTGTCGCTATATACATTACAACGTTTCGGCCGTTGTACGCTCCGCCCTTCTTCAGGTGTTTGGCATGTCGAACTGAACCCTTTATTTCGCTCAATGGGGTAGACTGTTCTACTTGCACGTGCCATGTTTAATGGATGTCAATTAGCCGTTATCTCCTGTTAATTTTATTTAGAAAATATTCGTCCTTTGACAGGATTCGAACCTGCAACCTATACGGAACCGTCAAAAGGAGCGTTTCTATGAAAATTTCTCGGACATTCAGGCCGGTAAATGTTATTTAATACTGTTTATTATAAACAGAGCATTTACTTAAATACTTGTATCTATAAAAAGAACGTTAAACAAAAATGAAAATATATATATATATATATATATATATATATATATATATATATATATATTTGTATTTTGATTGTTCACTGTAGCTTATGTAACAGCATTGAGGGGGTGTATGGTTGATTTGAAGCTTTTAAAACTCTTTATTCTACATTCAACACCATCACTTGATAAGGCACCGGAAGTGTTAAAACTAAATGGCTCTTTTTGTAGTGATGTTATAACATGTTTGTTATAATTTTTGAATAAATAATATTCAATTTTATCTAATCTGTATTGAGCACTCTTTTAAGCAATAGTATTTTTGGTTATTGGAAATTATTCCCTCAACACTAATCCTATACTTGGGTATATACATATATATATATATATATACACACACACACACACACAAAAAAAAAAAAAAATATATATATATATATATATATATATATATATATATATATATATATATATATATATATATTATAGTAAAAAAAAAAAAAGAAAGGACAATAAGATATAGAATCCGCTGTTTGTTTGTTTTCTTTTATTTTTACAAAACAGTGCTCAATGTAAATTTACAGAGCATAAAATATAATATAAGATACAATAATAGTTAATAAAAATGAACACGCTATCTTCCCTGTCTAAATTATTGAGTTTTCTGTATCCTTGGAAACAAAAACAAAAGGAATGTGTGTGCTTTTAAAAGTCAGTAAATTTCAAAATATGTTATTCCAAAATAAGAAGATGAAACAGAATTAATGCTTTTAATTTAATTATATAACTGAATTTGAAGATTTTAGTTTCTGTTTTTGAAACATGGTGATTCCTGTGTAGCGATGGAACCATATTTTTTAAATCAGTTAATTTATAGTATATATATATATTTATAGTATATATATATATATATATATATATATATATATATCTTCTCAGAGGATGGAACAGTATACTAGGAATTATCAATGTTACTATCGCATTTACAATTTCTATATGATTAGATATTTCTGTTTAGATTAAACAAGCCGAGCATATGCTGGATTACTTTGAGCTTCGTAAGTCTATCTGAAGCATACAAGGGGTAGCAATTCAGGAAATCAGAAAGTATCCCCACCACCATGAATCAAATAAAGATTCCTTTCTTTCATTCCGGCATGAATTACTTTTCATTTCTTTCTCTTTCATCTGCTCTTCTCTTGAATCCTCCACGTCTTCTCTTTCTTTCTTCCATTTCTCGTCTTCTATTCTCTCTCTTCCTCCACGTCTTCTCTTTCTTTCTTCCATTTCTCGTCTTCTGTTCTTTCTCTTCCTCCACGTCTTCTGTTCCTTCTTTCACTTCCTCCACGTCTTCTATTCCTTATTTCACTTCCTCCACGTTTTCTATTCCTTCTCCACCCTTTTTCTTCATCTTCATTTTCCTTTTTATATTCTCTCGCGTCTTATATTCCTTTTCTCTCGTCCTCCTCATCTTCACTTTATTCATTATTCTCCTCCACGTATTCTAGCCTTTCTTTCTCTTCCTTCTCGACTTCTATTTTTTCTTTCTCTTCGTGTCTTCTATTCCTTCATCTTCGTTCTGTTCCTACACTTTTTTTATTACTTCTGTCTCTTCCTCCACGTCTTCTTATCGTTTCTCTTCGTCTTCACTTTCTTCTTTCTAACCCTACTCGCCTTCTATTCCTTCTTTCTCGTCCTCCACGTCTCTTATTCCTTTTCTCTCTTATTCCTCGTCTTCATTTTCCTCATTATATTCTTCCTCGTCTTCTATTCCTTCTCTTTCTTCCTCCATGTCTCTTTTTCCTTCCCTCAATTTCTCCTCGTTTTCACTCTCTTCATTCTACTCTTACTCGTCTTCTATTCTTCCTACCTCTTCCTCTCCGTCTTCACTTTCTTCATTCGCAATATTGTTCTATCATTATATATTCATGCTTTTCCAGCGGTGAGATCCTGAGTGTATTCCAGTATCTATCGGTATTTATTATAGGTACACAACAATATGATATAGACAGTTCTTTTGGGACTTAAGCTTACCCCAACCTTCAAAGGGAATTCGTATATATGATGCATCACTGCAAAAATTGTCATCTCATACTACCATTCCAGAAATAAGACCCCCATGCTATATTCTAACTTTACAAGAGCCAGATCCGACAATAAAATTTATATTGCTGCCACATCTGCGTCAAAGTTATCCAATCCTCACATTCCAATCTCTACCGATTTTAAAAGCGCTTTCACGCCGTTTGGGTGATGAATTATGTTCACCGCTTCAAACGATTCCCCCCAGACAGGGCTTTGCTGGCCTCTCGCTGTACTACTGCTATTGTCATGGCAGAGGTTCGGGGGAACTATCAGGTCATCCCATAATTTCTGCCGGAATTTTGAATAAAGAAAACAAGTGACCAAATGTTACATTTAATTACAGATTCAATCAACAATGTATTTTCCCTGATTATCTATGACTTCCTTCCATCTATTAACAAGCTTACTAATTCTATTACTGTAAAATTCTTTTGACTTTGATTCGAAGAACTCACAAATGTCAGTTTTAACCTCTTCCTGTGTTATAAAAGCTGTTTCTTCCAAATGATTCTGTAAACTACGAAACAAATGGTAGTCTGAAAGAGCAAGATCAGGAGAATAAGCTGGATGAGGAATTTTCTCCCAACCAAGTTCTTCGATCTTTTGTGACGTGATTCTTGCTGTGTGAGGTCGCGCATTGTCCTGATGAAACATCACCTCTTTTCGATTCACTAGAGCAGGTCTTTTTTTTCCTCAAAGCTTAGTTCAAACGCTCTAATTACTGACAGCATATTCGAGCATTAATTGTTGCATTAGGTGGTAAGAATTCAAAGTGGATTATTCCTTGGCGAACCCAGTAGATTGAAAGAAGAACCTTTTTCCCATGAAGTTCCCTTCTCGGCTGTGGCTAGAGTATTTCCCCTTTGCCAAGCCACTGTCTACAGCGCTTAACATTTCCATAAAAGATCCATTTTTCGTCGCCAATCACAAGTCTATCCAAAAAAGGTGAAACAAGTTGGCGAGAATGGAGAGAAGAGCAGATGTCAACTCGGGATTTGAGGTTGTTTTCAGACAATTCCTGAGGCACCCATTTTCCAAGTTTAGGAACTTTTCCAAGGTGTTGAAGATGACGGTGAACAGTTGTATGGTTTGAACTGAGAACCACTGCCAATTCCTCAACTGATAAAGCAGGATTTTCTTCAAAGGCTGCTTCAAGAAGCTTTTCATCAAACTCAAGTGGACGTCCGGTTCGATCTTCATCTTCAATGGTGAAATCTCTACCTCTGAATTTTGCAAACCATCTTCTGCAAGTTCTTTCATTCATACATTCCTCTCCATAAACTGAATGAATGTTCTAGCCGCTTCGGCTGCTGAGTTTCCTTTCTTGAACTCATAAAGCATTATGTGCCTCAAATGATTCTTGGGTACTTCCATGTTAGCAGGGTTTTAATCAAACAAAATTTAATTTTATTGTTCTCTGAAATAAAATTTGATCAGTTTAAATGCATCTAAACATAAAAGTAATGTTCAGCTCCATTCGACATTATAAAATACTCTTTAAATTTCGTTCATTTTAACAAAAAGTTAAAATTCGGACAGAATTTATGGGATGAACTGATACATTACTTGGAATGTCGAACTGAACCCTTTATTTCGCTCACTGGGGTAGACTGTTCTAGTTCTACGTGCCATGTATAATGGATTTCTGTTATCAGTTATCTCCTCTTAATTCCCCTCTCCAAGTTCTCCACCGCCTTAACCTAAATAAGGCCGAAACGTTGTGATAAATATGGCAACAAAGATGAGGACAATAGTTCGAATAATGTAAATAGTGTACATAATACCTCATCTCAGAAATACAGACAGATACTGAGGGATGTGTTTGTTTTTTGTTTCATAACAGATTACACCTCGGTGTAATATTTGACACTTCTGTACGTGAAACATCTAAGTTTTTCAGCGTTGAACGATTTTTGGTTTTAAGAAGAGTTAAAGCTTAAAAACTCATTTCACATAGGTATGTGATACTAAAGGACAAAATAATGTGTAGTGCCATTTCAGAAATAGTGGAAAATACAGCTTTAGCTCCACTCCAGAATTTAGTGAAAGATTTTTTTGCAATTTCATGTTTGAGCCACCTCAGCGAAATCAAGTCTTTGAATTTATTTTTTGCGACCCCGGTATTTCGCTTTGCGACCCCATTTGGGATCACGACCCGTAGTTTATGAAACGCTGCTTTTGTATTTAGATATTTCTGTGTAAATATGTCTGTCAAAATGAGGTGTCAGTGTTATTAGGTTGTCCCAAAAGTTGGTAAACACTTGCGAAAAATTGAATTTTTATGCAACACAATCCAGCACAATCGAGACAAGCGATGGGTTCAGAAAGGGCAAGAGACACCATCGGTTCCAAAACAAGATCGACTCGGCAAAAAAGTCATGTTGTGCGTTTGGTGGAACTTTGAAGGAATCGTGCATTTTGAGTTGGTTCCGAATGGTCGTGCCATCAGTGCCGAACTTTACTGTCAGCAACTGGAGCGGGTCTACGAAAAGTTGAAGCAAAAGTATCCGGCTCTGATCAACCGGAAGCAGGACAATGCCAAGCCACACACCGCCAGGAAGGCCAAAGACAAGTTTGAAGAGCTGGATGGCGTTGAGGTTCTGCCACATCCAGCCTACAGTCCTGACTGTGCTCCATCAGATTACGGCCTTTTTCCGCTCAATGCAACACTTTCTGAAGGGCCGCCGATTCGACTCGTTGGATGAAGTCGAGGAAGCGTGTCAAGAATTCTTTGATTCGAAGCCGGCTGAATGGTACTTTTCACAAGCTTGCAGATCGATGGCAGAAAGTCTTGAAAAATGATGGTCTTTATTTTGAGCAATAATTTTTGTTGTTTTTGTTATATCTTGGCGAGTAAAATTTCAATTTTTTGCAAGTGTTTACGAACTTTTGGGACAACCTAATATTTTCATGTTTGCGTAATTTAGACGACAATTTATCCATCGCACCCTGTAGATCACGAATGGCTAATCATTTGTGGACAGGAAAGTTGGTTCAGAATTACTTTCATAGACATTGATCATGTTGTGTCCTGATGCTGTTCAAAGAAATCTGCTTCTCCGATAGAGAATCCTAGGGAACAAGACACCACATCACTTGAAATTTCCCATCAGCGGCAACAGTTAAAATGAATAACACGTGTAATCTAGAAGAGAAAATAATGGCAAAATCAAGATGCTGACTGTTCACGTTGGCTTAGACAAAAGGCTAGGAAGGAGGTCGCTTTTAATACTAGAAAGGGCGATAACAGTTGATGGGAGAAATCTATTTTCCTTAAAAAATGTCTTTCTAGTCAGAGAAAGATTCTAACTCTGATAGAAGAATCGATAGTTCGGCCCCATTAGGTAATTAAAAGAATTTTAAATAAAAGTATTTTATCAATATTATTTGATATGTTTATGTGACGTAGATAAACAAAGAATTAACCTGATAACTCAAGTCGTGTATTTAAATATCCTCGTCAGATTTAGATTTTCATATGGATGTCATGCATGGCGTCAAACCCGTTCAGAAATATCTAGACTGTCAGCTGTATATAACCGCTGTCCCGAATGAATAGTTAAAAAAAAGGGGCCTTGAGCGAGTGAAGCCTGAAGGTCTTGGTGAAAATCATGAAATCTTGCAAACTGGTGCTATAGAATCACAAACTAAGAGCTGTACCAAATAACAGAAACCACGTCATTTGAGGACTTCCAACAACCGAAACTAAAACGGACACTACGTGTATCTAGAAGAGAAAATAATGTTATAAGATGTTGGCGTTTATTTGAATATAAGGTTATGAAAAAAACCCTGTTAATACGAGAAAGTTCTGTAACACCTATTAAACTTAAAGCTATTTTCCTGAAGAATTCTTTTAATTTTGTAAATTTCAAACACCAGTGATGCTAAATAGTTTTCTTTGGCTTGGTTTGTTTTTTGTTTGTGTTTTTATGGCATATCAACTTCAGTTGGTTATCTAATGCTAACAAAATTCTAGGATAGGTTCGTATGAATAAAATAAGTATTTGTAAGAAAATCAGTTAGAAATCAGTTTGTAGATCAGGTCAAATGTATCGCTGGTAATTTTTTTTTTTTTTCAAAAATGTATTGCTGGTATTTTTACTATAAAAATCTATTTTTATACTTTCATAGTGTTTTGACCCCAGTTTGGTGGTTAAACTTTTACCATAGCTGGAACCCTAACAGGTGCTACCACCCCGGGTCAAGATGGATCTGGGAACAACAGCAATTAAGAGGTGGCTCCACGCTCCTCCCTATCAGAGGCCTAACTGTCGGATGTTGTTTGTTGACATAACGCTAAATATTCAGTGAATAAACGTCGAATGTTTCCTTATAAGGAAACGGTTAATCTCACCATAACCATTAGTTTAGGATTGGGAGGGTTGTTTTATGAGTGTGGTATTATTTTGTTTATGGTAAGAGTAACGTGCCAGTTTCGTTACAAAGTAACTATTTATTTTGTGCCAAATTCATTATTTCTCTGTTATAGGAATTGGAAAATGTAATCAAAATAGCAACAGAATTGCCGTTCTTACCTATTTAGAAAGAATATGGCATCATAGCCTGATTTTTTTTGGTTGAAGAATAATTTGTTTTTGTGATATATTGTATTCTTTGTAATAGTCGAATTTTTAGGTGATTAAATTTTCTATTTGATGGGATGAACTAAAACTACCTCTACTTCTTCTATAAGCTGTGTCCCTATACGCCGCTGGCAATCATGGCTTTCCGCAGTTTCCTGTATTTTGAGGCTTTTAATAACTTTTATCTTTTTACCATTTCTCTAATCTGCTTCGATATCCATTCACTCAATCTTGCCAGGTAAGATATAAATTGTTTTCCCCTGTGCCACTTACCTATAGTTTT